CCTCGATTGTACCAAAGGCTACGCAGACGTCTTCGGACTATTGGCAGTGTTCCAAGTGCTCACTCTCGCCAAGAAAAAGCCTGGCATATTCTGTATCTTTTGAGTCTTCATACTCGAAGCAGTTATGAGACATGTCAACGAATTCGATCCGGTGAGTTTCATACTCTTGAAGTGTATGCATTGTACAGATTATCCTTGCACATGGAAGAGCCCGGCCGATCCCGCGTTCGGGGACTCCTTTCAAAAGCGTTACAGTTTAGAAACGCTACAGTTCCCAGAACCAACATGCCCTTGAGCATTCCGTTTTTGTCTCATGATGATTTTCAAATCAATGTTCAACGTTGGCTACGCAATATCATTGTGAATTCAAAAGACATGGCGTTACCGTTTCACCTGCCCACTCGACATTTGCGTGAGGCAGCGTATCCCAAAGTTCGGGGATTTTTGCACAATCATCGAAAAGCTGAAAAATGGTGGGATGCCACCGACCCGGACGAATTGCCATGTTGCTGTTCTTTTTTACGATTCCATTGTACGTATGACGTGGATCCTCAACAACATCTTGCTGTTAATTTGGAGGATTTGAAACTACCCAAGTTTCTGGCGGTATTTTCCGACGTGAATGCCAATTCGACATATTATTTATCAAAGACATCTTTCCTGGAGCAAGTTCTACCTAAGTTTCAACTGTGGCTCAGACATCACGGCCTACCTCCAGGTCTTTCGACTCCTTTCCGACAGTTCATGCATGATCAATGGAAGCTTCATCTTCAATCTTTGGAGCATCATCCGCGACTGACTTTTCGAGATGTACAGAGCCTACTGAGATGGCTGCCGTATAACTGTGTACTTCATCATGGTGATCATGAACAATTTCGTATTACTGTTTTCTGCCCCAGATTGTATTTTCACGGGGCTTTGCAAACTTGGCTAGATCGAGAACTGTTTGAAAAGCTTCCCATCAGCATCGAGGAAGCTCAGAAATTAATTCATCGAGCTTTTTCCAACCGACTGATTCGCAGATATCCCTGGGGTTTTCGGAAAGGAGCTCTCCTCCCGTATGGATTTGTTTTTCTGAAACGCAAAAAACAGTGGGCCAAAGGCCGCACGTTGATCAGCTATTACAAAAGCTATCAAGCCAAGTTGCTCAAAGCGACAAGCAGAGCATTGGACTCAATGTGTCGCCAAGTATGGCCACAAGATCTTGGACAATTGAGCACACCACAAATTTGGAGCAAAGTTCACACTTATTTTAATGTTACTGATGAAGCGACGCGACTTCAATTTGTCAACGATGACTTAGTTGGCTTTTTTAACTCTGTGCCACAAACTAGACTTTTGGATGCGGTACACCAATTGGTGGAACATTGGATTGACAACCATTTAGATCATTTTCCTGATGGTCGGGATTCAATCACTATTTCTGTGGATACCTCGGCTCATGGAGATCCAGTACATTCCACGTTTTCAGGTTCTTTTCGCCGCACGGCGTTTCAGATTCGGAAACTGCACGTCACAGATATTGTAGAAATCGTTCAGTCCAGCCTGAGTTCTCATATTTTCTCAGCCTTAGGATGCATTTGGCGTCAAATTCGTGGAGCCGGGATCGGCAGCCAGATATCACCGTCGTTATCAAATCTAGCAGTTACTATTATTGAGCGAAGTTGGCAAAACACTTTTGCCCAAGTACTGGAACAACCGAGCTTGCATCTATGTTCAATTCGCTACGTGGACAATCGTTTTTTAATGTTCTCTTCCAATTTTAAGTCCTGTGATGCCCTCATGACTTTTTGCAATTTGGACTTTTACGGGCATCCAGTCGAACTAGAAACTGTTGATGACAATATGCTTCTTGGGTTATTTTCCGTTGATGTTGACAGACGCACTGTTGAATATCGTCAACCTGACATTCGTCAGATCAGAGATTGCGTCTCTGCGGGATCACTCCGACTCAGAATGAGTGGATTGAAAAGCCGGGCTCTTTTAATTCGACAATACACGTATCCGACCAGTTTGATCTCCCGTAGCTTGACGCAGCTGGGCGCCTTATATGTACAGAAAGGTTTTTCCCAACCTGACGTTGATCAAGCACTCAACCAGCGTAAATATTGCTGCGCCCGTTTTGCCATGACATCTTCATGAATGAGCTTCTTGTGATACATTTTTGTTGCTTCTATGTTGGCTCAATTTTGTACTACCATTCTGACTCGCTTCGGAAACTCTCGCCATGGACTCACTTTGGCGCTCACGGGCCCAGTTTTTCCACGAATCACTGTTGCTGGGAACATTCAGTGCCAGGTTTTCGCGACATACGGCCTTTGTGTGTGGGGACAACCCCTGTTCCAAAGGGCTTCCTTTTCATATTTATTCTCTAATTTCCCACAAGGGGTGGGGTTCGCGGGACTAGTTTTTCAAGATCACCGCTGATAAAAGCAACAATAGTTTCGCGACATACGGCCTTTGTGTGTGGGGGCAACCCCTGTTCCGAAGGGCTTTTATCATGATATGTCCAATTTTTAGTATCAGCTCCTAATTTACAAGCAGGGGCACACGGCATCCTTGACCCACCGTGTGCAACGAAGCTACGGTCTTGGATGGGATATCAGGGCTGATCACCCTGACGTACCTGCAGTTGGTCATGATGTTTTCTCATTATTCAAGCTTGTTGATGCATTTTCGGTTAGTCTTTTGTCATATGCATGAATAATTCGAGAAATCGGAGTCCGTTACGCATTTTTCAGTTTTTTCAGTTTTTACCAATTTCTGCGACTTTTGTCCAAAGTGGACAAAGACGGCCTTTCTGAACTCAGTTCAGATACCCTATCGGGAATCAAAAGACTCATAGACGAGATACGGTCTTTCAAGTGTGTGTGTGTGTGTGTCACGGGCGACCAATCCAGTCCAGGCGCCACCCAGTGCCATGAGTGCCACGCCTGCCACGCAAAACGACGGCCATGTGTGTGTGTGTGCGTGTGTGTGTGTGTGTGTCACGGGCGACCAATCCAGTCCAGGCGCCACCCAGTGCCATGAGTGCCACGCCTGCCACGCAAAACAACGGTGGATGTGAGGTTGTGCCACGCCTGCCACGCAAAACCACAGTACCCCACCCAGTGCCATCTGTCCCACGCCTACCACGCAAAACGATGGTAGATGTAAGTTTGTGCCACGCCTGCCACGCAAAACGACGGTGGATGTGACTTTGTGCCACGCCTGCCACGTGAAACCAAGGTGGATGTCAGGTTGTGCCACGCCTGCCACGCAAAGTGCCGCGGCGTCACAGGCGCCCAAGCCGGACCAAGCGCGCCACCCAGTGCCATCTGTCCCACGCCTGCCACGCAAAACGACGGTGGATGTGACTTTGTGCCACGCCTGCCACGTGAAACCAAGGTGGATGTCAGGTGCGGCGTCACAGGCGCCCAAGGCGGACCAAGCGCGCCACCCAGTGCCATCTGTCCCACGCCTGCCACGCAAAACGACGGTGGATGTGACTTTGTGCCACGCCTGCCACGTGAAACCAAGGTGGATGTCAGGTTGTGCCACGCCTGCCACGCAAAGTGCCGCGGCGTCACAGGCGCCCAAGCCGGACCAAGCGCGCCACCCAGTGCCATCTGTCCCACGCCTGCCACGCAAAACGACGGTGGATGTGACTTTGTGCCACGCCTGCCACGTGAAACCAAGGTGGATGTCAGGTTGTGCCACGCACGCAAAGTGCCGCGGCGTCACAGGCGCCCAAGCCGGACCAAGCGCGCCACCCAGTGCCATCTGTCCCACGCCTGCCACGCAAAACGACGGTGGATGTGACTTTGTGCCACGCCTGGCACGTGAAACCAAGGTGGATGTCAGGTTGTGCCACGCCTGCCACGCAAAGTGCCGCGGCGTCACAGGCGCCCAAGCCGGACCAAGCGCGCCACCCAGTGCCATCTGTCCCACGCCTGCCACGCAAAACGACGGTGGATGTGACTTTGTGCCACGCCTGCCACGTGAAACCAAGGTGGATGTCAGGTTGTGCCACGCCTGCCACGAAGTGCCGCGGCGTCACAGGCGCCCAAGGCGGACCAAGCGCGCCACCCAGTGCCATCTGTCCCACGCCTGCCACGCAAAACGACGGTGGATGTGACTTTGTGCCACGCTTGCCACGTGAAACCAAGGTGGATGTCAGGTTGTGCCACGCCTGCCACGCAAAGTGCCGCGGCGTCACAGGCGCCCAAGCTGGACCAAGCGCGCCACTCAGTGCCATCTGTCCCACGCCTGCCACGCAAAACGACGGTGGATGTGACTTTGTGCCATGCCTGCCACGTGAAACCAAGGTGGATGTCAGGTTGTGCCACGCCTGCCACGCAAAGTGCCGCGGCGTCACAGGCGCCCAAGCCGGACCAAGCGCGCCACCCAGTGCCATCTGTCCCACGCCTGCCACGCAAAACGACGGTGGATGTGACTTTGTGCCACGCCTGCCACGTGAAACCAAGGTGGATGTCAGGTTGTGCCACGCCTGCCAACCCAGGTTTGTGGTGTGTGTGTGTATGTGATGGTGTGTGTGTGTGTGTTGTTGTATGTGTGGTGTGTGTGTGTGTATGTGATGGTGTGTGTGTGTGTGTTGGTGTTGGTGTGTGTGTGTGTTGGTGTGTGTGTGTTGGTGTGTGTGTGTGTTGGTGTTGGTGTGTGTGTGTGTTGATGTGTGTGTGTGTTGGTGTGTGTGTGTGTGTGTTGGTTTGTGGTGTGTGTGTGTTGGTGTGTGTGGAGGAGGAGGCGGAGGCGGCGGAGGCGGAGGAGAAGCCCGGGATACAGAATCAAAAACAAGAACCCCACACAAAGATGTGGGGAATGAGTTTGCCCAGAAACCCGACAATGGCAACGTTAGTGAGGAAAATGATGATCAACCACTGGATTTTGAGACAAAACCTATGTTCAGGCAGAGCAAAACCATTGATTGACCTACCGAACAGAGGTTGACCCAATAATTCTGAATGAACACCCAAAGGAAAAACCTGCTGGCATGGTGCTGATCCTCAAAGCCTTTGACTGTCTCTGCACCTGGAGATTGATGATTCATAACCCCTACGAGTACGGGTGGTAACTTACGCCACAACCTATAATCTTACCTCACCGCATGGCACACTAAAGAGCTTGTGCCATAGCCAAATCACCACGGCACACCGACACTTATCCATATATGTGCACATTATTTCATGAAAATCCCATGCGGACTGCAGCGCTTTGTACCGTTTTATACCTGTCTTAAACCTGACACAAAGCGTTGTAAACCGCATGGCACACCATCAACTTGACCTCTACAAGACCAGGAGTTCTACATGTCATTCTTTTTGGCGGACTCTCATTACTACCCTGGGAAACATATACTCATAAAATGCTTTTCCCAATGGCACACCAGAAACATTCCAGCACTGAACAACGCAGCACAATGGCACTGAGATATTCAAGGTACCTTTTGACAGCGTGAATTTTACGAGATCCTTACGAGGTCTTTACGAGATCTGTGCAAGATGGGGGTTTTGCAAGGCAAGGCAGAGGGCAAGGAAGCAGGGATCTTTTCTACTCTTCCCTTCTCTGCTCTACGCGTCCCTCATCACTTCTACTCTTCAATTCGATTCTCTTCTCTATTCTTCTGTAAATAGTCTCTTCTACTATTCTCTCTTCTGTGTGATTCAAGCTATTGAGAAGCCATCCCCATGAGTTTCTATCTCAAATAGAATATGTCTCAAAAACATGAGCGCCCCTGCAAGGTGCTAGAAAAACCAATGCCACAAACAATTGATTTATCCAGTAAAAATGACATGTATATCATAGACCCCCCAACGGCACACCGTTTGCAGCACAAGAAGACAACCGCGGCACAAGTTACCACTCTGACCCAGTACCTTAAGGATTCCCAGAGTGGTCCCCCACCTACATTAACAAAAGTATTAACCCAAGGGTCCTTAATTCTTCAGGGTACCTCTATAAATTTGTTCTGCGGCACTTCCCCCCCACCTAGATGCAATAAATGGTGGTCTTCCCACCACCTAAATTGATTTCAGGCAAAGATTTTCAAGAGTGGGGGAGCTACCATTTCTTCTTGGGTTAGGCAGACCCCAAATAATTTCTTCTAAGTAATTGGGGTGTGGTTAGCCAAATTATTCGAGGTAGGGGTGAAGGTATCCAAAGTTTCAGGAACATATGGCCTGCAATGAGGCCAGCCAAGCCCATACGCATGATTCAACACGTCCGGCAAAAGCGGCAGCCGAAGGAGGCACTGTATGCAAGAAATTAAGGCAGTCTCATCGGATTCAAACCGTGGGGCCCCAAACCAGTACACCCCCACATTAATTTTACGCGTGGCCACGCGAGGTGGGAAAAAGGAAAAACTTTGTTGGCGCAAAAAGGAATAGATTGGGTGTGTATTTGTTCATGTTTTTTTCCCACCTGCTAGGTGAGGGTTGTCAGATTTTATCAGAGTTGTTCTTCTCCTCCTTCTTCTCCTCCTTCTCCTTCTCCTCCACCACCTCTGCCTCCACTTCCATGTTCACTTCCGCCTTGCCAACTCTTCGCCAAGCTCTTCGCCAACTTCTGCACGCAGTGGGCACTGCTGGACCTCAACTGCAAGGGTCCGAGCTCAGTGAGCACCGCTGGACCTCAACCTGGGACCGTCCGAGCTCAGTGAGCACCGTTGGACCTCAACCTCGGACCCTCCGAGCTCAGTGAGCACCGCTGGACCTCAGCCTGGGACCTTCCGAGCTCAGTGAGCACCGCTGGACTGAAGGTTCCCTGAGATCATATGGATATACAATGATATGTACATATATATATAATTAAGTATATATAATGATATATACGTATATAGTCTTCTCTCTATGGAGAGGGACATTCCTCATAGGGACACTCCTGGAACATTCCTTTCCTATTAATTTTAATTCGAAATATTTCAAGTTCATTCCAAATAATGCAATTTCATTCCAACTAATTATTGTTCATTCCAAAAAATACTTGTGCGTTCATGTTTGTTTAAGGTGTTTTTTCAAATGATGATTTCAAGATTTGTTGTTATTTGTTTTCATTGTTCGATTTGTTATTGTCTTTAAAATGTTCTTTTTGTTTTTTCTTGTTTTTTTACATATGTTGTTCTGCCATAGAATGTCAGATAGAATGCCAGAAGGTATGCCAGATAAAGTGCCAGAATGTTTGCCAGATAGAACGCCAGAAGATTTGCCAGATAAAATGCCAAATAGAATGTCAGAAGATATGCCAGAAGATATGCCAGATAGAGTGCCAGAAGATATGCCAGAACATATGCCAGAAGATATGCCAGGTAGAATGCCAGAAGATATGCCAGATAGAATGCCAGAATGTTTGCCAGGTAGAACGCCAGAAGATTTGCCAGATAGAATGTCAGAAGATATGCCAGAAGATATGCCAGATAGAGTGCCAGAAGATATGCCAGAACATATTGCAGAAGATATGCCAGGTAGAATGCCAGAAGATATGCCAGATAGAATGCCAGAAGATATGCCAGAAGAAAGGCCAGATAGAATGCCAGATGATTTGCCAGTAACAAAACGTATAGATGTCATGGTGGGGATAACTCGAAGTAAAGTATTTTTTTAAAACTGGGTTTTCAATTCTCATTGTGCACAATCAATAAGATTCTGTTCCAAACGCACCTTCTGACTTGTAAATGCCACCCAGTTAGATTTAGTGTCATTACAATTATTGAGTCCTGTGCTAGTACACCCACCCCCGAATTAATTATATTAATTTTTACGCGTGTCCACGCAAGCTGGGAGAAAGGAAAACAATGGTTGGCGATATGAGAAATAAATTGCATGTTTCTTTGTTCGTAATGGTTTTAAACAGCTTTTCAAAAATCATTTGCGTTCATTTGCAAAATAAAAAATTAATATTATTTTCCAAACGCATTTTCGTCCTTGTAAATGCCATCCAGGTAGATTTAGCGTCATTAATAATCCAAGTTTGATTGAGCTGGCATGAGCTGTTTGACGAAACATTGCCAAATTAATTCGGGGTGGCCCCACTCTCATTCTCAAGCACCCAGACTAAGTTATTTTGGGTACCCCTAACTTAAATTAATCCTTGAATACTAGAGTTCTCGGAAAAAAACACCCAAATCAAAATTAATTGAAATAAATTAATTGGATAACCAACGGTCCACCTGGATAAATTTCTTAAGGTAGGGGTTGTGATTATTCTATCCGGGTTGACAAGCGCATGGATGTGACAATGGCCAAAGAAATTGGGTGATGAATCAACATGATTCAACATTAGCCACCAATCATGATTGAAACACCCATTTACACATACTATACGTATCTATACATGCTATACGGTCCAACCTGATCCAATATGGGGTGACTAGCAGAGTCGACGGCGAAAAAACACCTCCAGTGTAGCATCCAGCACATCCTCCGTAGAAGCCAGCGCTTGCAAGCTCAGCTCTCGAGAGTCGTAGTTCGCAAAACTTTGCAGCAAGTAGAATCTCCCTACTGACCTCGGGAATGGGAAGTGGAGCTTGGAGCTGTCTCCCTTTCTCTGTGGAACATAAAAGTATGACTGGGTGTTATTGAAAGTGGTGGATTTACAATCAACTGGCAAAAAACAGACAAACACATGTATGAAAGTTTTGCGGTTTCTATGGCGGTGAAGCTTTAGATCCTAAAGGGCGAGTACGTGGAAGATGGAACCTAAAATGATAAACGAGAGAAGGATTTGTTACCAAAGCATTTGAAAGACAAATAAAAGCAAAGAAAAGAAAAGAAAAAACAAAACATGAGAATCATAATATGGATTGAATTAACAAAAGTAACGAGGTCAATAATACATGTAAATAATATACACTATTAAATAAGAAATAATATAACAAAATATGATTCAATATTATATGATTTAATAAATAAACACGATATGATTAAACATGACATAGTGTAACATAATATAACATTTTACAATATAATATAATGTAACATGATAGAACATGCCATAATAGAATACATTATGACATAATAGAACATTATATATATAATATAATATAATATAATATAATATAAGATTAAAGTAATATGACTTAGTATACGCTAATCTGAAAGTAGATGGCTCAACTCAAAAACCAAAATACCCATAAGATATCATAAGATGGCACCGCGCGGTGTGGAAGAAAACGGCGCTATTTTGGCTGGAACATAAAACGAATTGCATCATGTATGCGGCTTGTGTCAAAGAACCAATTGAAGAAAAATCACCCCAAAATAGCGCATATTGGATGACCAATTTACTTCAAAATCTTCACATTTGATTCTGGCTTGCCAGTCAACGCCGTTGTTTGATGGGCAGTTTGATGCCCATGTGCGATGTTCCAGGGAAGTTGCGATTGATTCAATCTGTGTTTCTGTACCACTTGTCTCCAGAGAATAAAAACGGTATACTCCGGATTAAAAGTGCATGGCACTGAATATTGAGTTGCGCCATCTATGTCAAAGGCAAAATACAGGGGATAGATGGCGCAACTCCATTTTCAATTAGGTAGTTCGCGCCACGTATGTCCCTAAAATTGACCTATTTTACTATCTATTTTTATCTATTTTTTGCAACCTTCTAAGCTGGTTTGCACCCAATTTTCTTCCTCAACATCAAGCTGCCGGCCCTTGGCTTCTTCAGTGGGTGCCCTTCTCGAAAAAATGTTTTTTTCCCTTGGGTCTGCGCCACGCGCACGCACAAAAGAAAATCCAAATAAGGCTCCCGTGTTCGCCCGCGCGGCGCGAACCCAAGAAAAACAGAGTTTAAATTTGAGCCACGGGCTGAGTAAGGGGACATAGATGGCGCAAGTCCTATTCATTCGCCAAAATCAGGCTGGGAATGCCCACATAGATGGTGCAAGTCCTTCATACCTCCCAACATCCCTCAACAGGCCAAGGAAGGTTGGCATTTGCAAACACATGCAAACAGAACTTTGTCCTCATCGCGCCATCCATGCGCGTCCCAAACATGGCAGTTCAGCAGGCTGAGGGGGGTTGGCAGTGGCAAACACATTTAGAAACAGGCTTTTGTCCTCATCATCAAGCCCTTGCCTGACTTGCGCCATCTATGTGGTTTGGAATAGTTTGGAAACAGGCCCGGTTTTTGGGGCATATTCCTTCCTCAGGATGAAAGGAGATGTGCCATCTATGTGGCATATGTTTGTTAGGTCTGTTGTCGGGAGGTATGAGGGACTTGCGCCATCTATGTGGGCATTCCCAGCCTGATTTTGGCGAATGAGTGGGACTTGCGCCATCTATGTCCCCCAAAGGCAGCTTGATGTTGAGGAAGAAAATTGGGTGCAACCCAGCTCAGAAGGTTGCAAAAAAAGATAAAAACAGATAATAGGGACATACATGGCGCGAACTACCTGTTTGAACATGGAGTTGCGCCATCTATCCCCTGTGTTTTGCCTTTGACATAGATGGCGCAACTCAATATTCAAAGCCATGTACTTCCAATCCAGCGTAATATAATATAATACGATATAAAATATTATTTATATAATATAGTAAAATATAACATAAGAAACTATAATATATTATAATATACTATAATATACTATAATATACTATAATATACTATAATATACTAAAATAAACTATAATATACTAAAATATAATATAATATAATATAATATAATACACTAAAATATACTAAAACATAATATATGATATAATATGAAATATGATATGATTTAAAATATGGTATGATATATAATATGACATAACATGATACAATATGACATGATATAGTCTGATATAAAACAAAATGGTATAATAGAATATGATAGACTATAATATGATATAGTATAATATGATATAATAAAATACTATATAATACAGGAATAGTATATATAAGATACACGTTTCAGAAAACTTGAGAGCAGGCGGAGGCGGACGAAAGGTAGTGTAGTGGGAGAGGGGTGGTGTCAAAATGCTGCGCCCCTAAGATGATACACCAAAAACGTTTTTGCGCAGTCTAAGATGATTTTATCCAGAGCATGACTGCATGATACGGTGTCTTGTGCAGCGTGAAATGATGCACAAAAAGGGGTTTATTTAAAACCCCTTTTTAAGACCCCTTGCAGCAACTGTTATTGAGGCTGAAGCAAACCAATTATGCTGGACTACAGGGACATCTCCCTCATGGAGAGTGTGCCTCTACTGTGGCGGACCGTGACCGCGTCACCCGTGGGAATTGAACCCATGACCATTTTAGAGGGCCCCCCCCCTTATAATTGATATCTAATACATAACGTCGAGAAGTCTACGTTTTCCACGGGCTGGCCCCCCAATACCCCCTATGATTGTGCTGAAGCACGGAGAACTCAGGTAGCTGACGCTACCTTTCGTGACAATAGTGATAAAGTTGTTGAAGAAGAAAAAACAATAAATACAGGCTCTGTCTATTGGTCAAATGAAGCCTGAATGGATCGTTTCTGCCAGCTGGGCCTCACTGGCTTGGTGATTTTTCGGTGGAATCAGCAGGCTTCGGCTTCGGCGGAATCAAGGATGATTAACATATGCATCAAACAAAACGACAAGTTGTTCAATCTTTCGCTATCGTTCCTCTCCTGCAATTTCATTCATGAGCCAACTTGCTCGAACAAATTTTGTGGGGACATCGTGATAAACAACAGAGTTCCCGGCAAGTAGAGTGGTGAGGTCACAGTCAGTGCAAAGCGTGATGATCAAAACAAAATAATGATCAAAACTATCGATCGCAATCATTTGAGCAAGAGATATACTCACTCAAACTCCATGAACAATTGCACACGTCATACACCAGCGATATCCATTGACCTAACACTCTCATGCGTGTTATAATATACACTCATATATATATATATATATATGCACATAATACACACATGAAAAATTATATTATAACGATTGGACATGGCTATTGATAGTTTATTTACCACCTAAAAATGGAGATGTTCGATAGAAACCTGTTAGTTTAGCAGAGAGTAAAAAAATGACAATTACATAAAACATCATAAAACTATATGAAGGTTTCCCAAAAAATCTGGTACCTCTAAATCATCCATCGTTTTTTAGGATTTTCCATTATAAACATTTCAAAACCATCCATACATGGGTACCCCCATGACTTAGGAACCTCCCCATCATAATCATTGACACCAGCAGTTTTGCCAAGCGACCCCAGCTCGGTATAGAAGCCGCCCAGCGGCACGGCCAGGCCGCGGTGCTCCGTGACTGCGGCAGAGACTTGCAAGGCCTGCAGCAGATGCGACAGCTTCGAGGGATGTGCATCCACCTGGCGTGGAGACATTGGATGGGATTGGTTGTTTTTATAAGTTATCTATAGGTCCCAAAAAGGTCAACAATTTGAAAAAACTGGGTTAATGATGGTTGCTAAAAATTTTTCCCGAATGCGTAGCGAAGGGTTCCCGTTTATAATTGGGGGTCTGGGGGTTGGACCTTTGTTCGCCGCCAGTTGGTCGGCGCGTCGTTTTTCGCGTCGTTTTCGCGTCGTTTTTCGCGTCGTTTTCGCGTCGTTTTCGCGTCGTTTTTCGCGTCGTTAATTCGGTGTCTATAAGGGAAGCTGCAAAACCTCGTGTTTTTTGCTACGTAGATGTCGCAGCGCAGTGTCTATAGGGGAAGCTGCAAAACATCGTGTCTTTTGCTACGTAGATGTCGCAGTGTCTATAGGGGAAGCTGCAAAACCTCGTGTTTTTTGCTGCGTAGATGTCGCAGTGTCTATAGGGGAAGCTGCAAAATCTCGTGTCTTTTGCTACGTAGATGTCGCAATGTCTATAGGGGAAGCTGCAAAACATCGTGTTTTTTGCTACGTAGATGTCGCAGTGCCTATAGGGGAAGCTGCAAAACCTCGTGTCTTTTGCTACGTCGATGTCGCACTGTCTATAGGGGAAGCTGCAAAACCTCGTGTTTTTTGCGACGTAGATGTTGCAGTGTCTATAGGGGAAGCTGCAACACCTCGTGTCTTTTGCTACGTAGATGTCGCCGTGTCTATAGGGGAAGCTGCAAAATCTCGTGTCTTTTGCTACGTGGATGTCGCCGTGTCTATAGGGGAAGCTGCAAAACCTCGTGTTTTTTGCGACGTAGATGTCGCAGTGTCTATAAGGGAAGCTGCAAAACATCGTGTCTTTTGCTACGTAGATGTCGCAGTGTCTATAGGGGAAGCGGCAAAACCTCGTGTTTTTTGTTACGTAGATGTCGCAGTGTCTATAGGGGAAGCTGCAAAACCTCGTGTCTTTTGCTACGTAGATGTCGCAGTGTCTATAGGGGAAGCTGCAAAACTTCGTGTTTTTTGCTACGTGGATGTCGCAGTGTCTATAGGGGAAGCTGCAACACCTCGTGTTTTTTGCTGCGTCGATGTCGCACTGTCTATAGGGGAAGCTGCAACACCTCGTGTCTTTTGCTGCGTAGATGTCGCAGTGTCTATAGGGAAAGCTGCAAAACATCGTGTCTTTTGCTACGTTTTTTGCTACGTAGATGTCGCAGTGTCTATAGGGGAAGCGGCAAAACCTCGTGTTTTTTGTTACGTAGATGTCGCAGTGTCTATAGGGGAAGCTGCAAAACCTCGTGTCTTTTGCTACGTAGATGTCGCAGTGTCTATAGGGGAAGCTGCAAAACTTCGTGTTTTTTGGTAGATGTCGCAGTGTCTATAGGGGAAGCGGCAAAACATCGTGTTTTTTGCTACGTAGATGTCGCAGTGTCTATAAGGGAAGATAGAAAACTTCGTGTTTTTTGCGACGTAGATGACGCAGTGTCTATAGGGGAAGCTGCAAAACTTCGTGTTTTTTTGCTACGTGGATGTCGCAGTGTCTATAGGGGAAGCTGCAAAACCTCGTGTTTTTTGCTGCGTAGATGTCGCAGTGTCTATAGGGAAAGCTGCAAAACATCGTGTCTTTTGCTACGTGGATGTCGCCGTGTCTATAGGGGAAGCTGCAAAAGCTCGTGTTTTTTGCTACGTAGATGTCGCAGTGTCTATAGGGGAAGCTGCAAAACCTCGTGTTTTTTGCTACGTAGATGTCGCAGTGTCTATAAGGGAAGCTGCAAAACCTCGTATCTTTTGCTGCGTCGATGTCGTAGTGTCTTCAGGGGAAGCTGCAAAACCTCGTGTCTTTTGCTACGTGGATGTCGCCGTGTCTATAGGGGAAGCTGCAACACCTCGTGTCTTTTGCTGCGTCGATGTCGCAGTGTCTTTAGGGGAAGCTGCAAAACCTCGTGTTTTTTGCTATGTGGATGTCGCCGTGTCTATAGGGGAAGCTGCAGTCTTTTGCTGCGTCGATGTCGCAGTGTCTATAGGGGAAGCTGAGTGCTTTGTGCAAGTTTTGTAGTACACAGTAGTACTGGGAAGTAGTTTGTGCAAGCTTTGTAGTACACAGTAGTACTGGGAACGACTTTGTGCAAGCTTTGTAGTACAAAGTAGTACTGCGAACGACTTTGTGCAAGCTTTGTAGTACAAAGTGGTACTGGGAAGTAGTTGTTGCAAGCTTTGTAGTACACAGTAGTACTGGGAAGTGCTTTGTGCAAGCTGTGTAGTACACAGTAGTACTGGGAACGACTTTGTGCAGGCTTTGTAGTACAAAGTAGTACTGCGAACGACTTTGTGCAAGCTTTGTAGTACAAAGTGGTACTGGGAAGTAGTTTGTGCAAGCTGTCAGTGTAGTACACAGTAGTACTGGGAACGTGTTTGTGCGAGCTTTGTAGTACACAGTAGTACTGGGAAGTGCTTTCTGCAAGCTTTGTAGTGCAAAGTAGTACTGGGAAGTGCTTTGTGCAAGCTTTGTAGTACAAAGTGGTACTGGGAAGTGCTTCGTGCAAGCTTTGTAGTACAAAGTGGTACTGGGAAGTAGTTTGTGCGAGCTTTGTAGTACACAGTAGTACTGGAACGTGTTTGTGCGAGCTTTGTAGTACACAGTAGTACTGGAACCTGTTTGTGCGAGCTCTGTAGTACACAGTAGTACTGGAACGTGTTTGTGCGAGCTTTGTAGTACACAGTAGTACTGGGAAGTGCTTTGTGCAAGTTTTGCAGTACACAGTAGTACTGGGAAGTAGTTTGTGCGAGCTTTGTAGTACACAGTAGTACTGGAACGACTTTGTGCAAGCTTTGTAGTACAAAGTAGTACTGGGAAGTGCTTTGTGCAAGCTTTGCAGTACACAGTAGTACTGGGAAGTGCTTTGTGCAAGCTTTGTAGTACACAGTAGTACTGGGAACGACTTTGTGCAAGCTTTGTAGTACAAAGTAGTACTGCGAACGACTTTGTGCAAGCTTTGTAGTACAAAGTAGTACTGGGAAGTAGTTGTTGCAAGCTTTGTAGTACACAGTTGGGAAGTGCTTTCTGCAAGCTTTGTAGTGCAAAGTAGTACTGGAAAGTGCTTTGTGCAAGCTTTGTAGTACAAAGTGGTACTGGGAAGTGCTTCGTGCAAGCTTGGTAGTACAAAGTGGTACTGGGAAGTAGTTTGTGCGAGCTTTGTAGTACACAATAGTACTGGAACGTGTTTGTGCGAGCTTTGTAGTACACAGTAGTACTGGAACGTGTTTGTGCAAGTTTGTAGTACACAGTAGTACTGGAACGTGTTTGTGCGAGCTTTGTAGTACACAGTAGTACTGGGAAGTGCTTTATGCAAGTTTTGCAGTACACAGTAGTACTGGGAAGTAGTTTGTGCGAGCTTTGTAGTACACAGTAGTACTGGAACGACTTTGTGCAAGCTTTGTAGTACAAAGTAGTACTGGGAAGTGCTTTGTGCAAGCTTTGTAGTACACAGTAGTACTGGGAAGTGCTTTGTGCAAGCTTTGTAGTACACAGTAGTACTGAGAACGACTTTGTGCAAGCTTTGTAGTACAAAGTAGTACTGCGAACGACTTTGTGCAAGCTTTGTAGTACAGAGTAGTACTGGGAAGTAGTTGTTGCAAGCTTTGTAGTACACAGTAGTACTGGGGACGACTTTGCAAGCCTTGTAGTACACAGTAGTACTGGGAAGTGCTTTGTGCAAGTTTTGTAGTACACAGTAGTACTGGGAAGTAGTTTGTGCAAGCTTTGCAGTACACAGTAGTACTGGAACGTGTTTGTGCGAGCTTTGTAGTACACAGTAGTACTGGGAAGTGTTTGTGCAAGTTTTGTAGTACACAGTAATACTGGGAAGTAGTTTGTGCGAGCTTTGTAGTACACAGTAGTACTGGAACGGTTTGTGCAAGTTTGTAGTACACACAGTAGTACTGGGAACGTGTTTGTGCGAGCTTTGTAGTACACAGTAGTACTGGAACGTGTTTGTGCAAGCTTTGTAGTACACAGTAGTACTGGGAAGTGCTGTGTGCAAGCTTTGTAGTACAAAGTAGTACTGGGAAGTGCTGTGTGCAAGCTTTGTAGTACAAAGTAGTACTGGGAAGTGCTTTGTGCGAGCTTTGTAGTACACAGTAGTACTGGGAACGTGTTTGTGCGAGCTTTGTAAGTACAAAGTAGTACTGGGAAGTGCTTTGTGCGAGCTTTGTAGTACACAGTAGTACTGGGAACGTGTTTGTGCGAGCTTTGTAGTACACAGTAGTACTGGAACGTGTTTGTGCATGTGTGGTACACAGTAGTACTGGGAAGTGCTTCCTGCAAGCTTTGTAATACAAAGTAGTACTGGGAAGTGCTTTGTGCGAGCTTTGTAGTACACAGTAGTACTGGGAACGTGTTTGTGCGAGCTTTGTAGTACACAGTAGTACTGGAACGTGTTTGTGCAAGTTTTGTAGTACACAGTAGTACTGGAACGTGTTTGTGCAAGTTTTGTAGTACACAGTAGTACTGGAACGCGTTTGTGCGAGCTTTGTAGTACACAGTAGTACTGGGAAGTGCTTTGTGCAAGTTTTGTAGTACACAGTAGTACTGGGAAGTAGTTTGTGCGAGCTTTGTAGTACACATTAGTACTGGAACGACTTTGTGCAAGCTTTGTAGTACACAGTAGTACTGGGAAGTGTTTGTGCAAGCTTTGTAGTACACAGTAGTACTGGGAACGACTTTGTGCAAGCTTTGTCGTACAAAGTAGTACTGGGAACGACTTTGCAAGCTTTGTAGTACAAAGTAGTACTGGGAAGTAGTTGTTGCAAGCTTTGTAGTACACAGTTACTGGGAACGGCTTTGCAAGCCTTGTAGTACAAAATAGTACTGGGAAGTGCTTTGTGCAAGCTTTGTAGTACAAAGTAGTACTGCGTAGTACTGCGAACGACTTTGTGCAAGCTTTGTAGTACAAAGTGGTACTGGGAAGTAGTTTGTGCAAGCTGTGTAGTACACAGTAGTACTGGGAACGTGTTTGTGCAGCTTT